GCTGACAAAGAAGGCCGTACGGTGGTGATGAAACCCACAGAACCCAACGGCCCCCCGTCTCCAGCACTTCTAAGCAGGGCTTAATTGGTAAGGAAAGAGGAGCCAGGGCGCAAGGAATTCTTTTACATTCATCATTGATGTGCTAGGCCAGAGGTGCCTGGGCTCAAATTTAACTCTGCTTATATGTCACTTTCCACCCATAAATCTCCAAGCGCTTTATAATAGAAGCCAGTATCCTCACCCGTTTTACAGACAGGGAAACTGAGGCACAGAGAGGGGACCATGACTGGCATTAAGCCACCTAGCACACCAGTTGCAGAATCAGAAAAAGAACCCAGGACTCCTAGGCCTCAGTCCAGTACACGAGCCACTAGACAATGCTCCGCCCTAGAACAAATCAATCCCAGCCACTTCCATCTTTAATATGTGCAAAACACTGTTGATCCCCTAATGAGAAAGGAAAGTGCTTTTATCCCTGCCACAGTGCAGCCAAGTTTAAGTGATTCACCCATGGCTGCAAGCAGGAGTCAGTGCCAGAGCAAGGAAAGCAGGCTGTGCTGTCTACAGGATAGGGCACTAGGCTGAGCAAAGACTTGCATTATACACCTCCCTCCCTCCTGCAGACATTGTTCTGAGAGGCAGTGTAGCCCATGGGTAGGGCGCCGGACTGGGAACCTGGACACCGACGTCTATTCCTGACACGGTCGCTGACATGGCAGGTGATCTCGGGCAAATCTCCTGCTCTGACGTTCCTCTTTCTACTCCCATTCTGGGCCTGTTGCGAGCTCTCTGGGGCAGAGTCACGCTCTGTTTATACCCAGCCCTGGGATCTGCCCTGGACGGGCTGCAGAGCAAGCACAGTCTCTTGTTATGTGTCTACAGAGCCCAGCACAAGGGGGCCCCAGACTCAGCCAAATATTAATTCCTGAGTTCCTGACCCCAGCCCCGTGCTCTGCCCAGCCTGGGGAGCAATTAAGCATGTTCCACTAGTAGGACTAGCTCCATGGTGGACTGCAGGTTATTCCTGGGCTCCATCCCAGCAGTGAACATCAGCCGGCACGGTCTCCTCCCAAACACTGACCTCTCCTCACCTGATTGTTGGAGGAAAGATGGGACAGCAGAGACAGCTCTGAGAAGAGGCACCTGGAGAAGCAGAGGCTGCACTGCTTATGAGTAGGATAAAAGCATGTAGAGGCCCAGCTAAGATTAGGGCCCCCTTGTGCTAGGCACAGGCCTTGTCCTGAAGAGCTACAAAGAGCAGACAGACAAATGATGGGATGGGAATTACAAACAGTGGAGAAGTGACTTCCCCAAGATCACCCAGTAGGTCAGTGGCAGAGAAACCAGGTGCTCTGACTCCCAGCCCTGCGCTTTAATGTCTGGGCACACTGCCTCCCATGACAGCAGCAACCAGTGGATGGCAAGGAGTTAAATTATTTTTCTTCTCTTCACGGGAAGTGACATTTACCTGCGAGCGACCGCTCCGGAGTCTCAGATCTTCACTGGTGCCGCATTTAGAAGGAAAATTTGCCTCTGAATTTTTTACTTCAGCTCGGGTAACTTTCTGCTTTGCACTTTGGGGAGCCCACCCAATAAAACCAGCTTCATCCGTGCTTACAGCATGTGTGCATGGGTAACTCTAGCCACTGCTGGAGCCAGGACTGCTGGGTTCTATTCCCAGCACCACCCTCTTTCCCGCACTGGCATGAAACGCCACCTGAGCTAGGCGCTGTGTTCACCTGCTTGGCTTCCCTTCCCAAACACGGCTTGCACCAGAGGCAGCAGGTTTCAAACACCTGGACTCCCTACAGTCACAGGCTGTGATCCCGAATCACCGCAGACTTGTGTCTCCCCCCCCCCCCGCCCCCGGGGGATCAATTGAGCACTGGTTAGTGCTGCCTGGAAGCCAGAAATCCCCCTGGAGCTCTTCAAAAGAGCAAGGGTCAACCCAGGCATCTCTGCCCCCAATGCTCCCTCTTCCCACATCCTCCCCCAGGCAGCTGCATTTCACTGGCTATGGAGTAAGGTTGTGGGGCCCTTTAAAACCAAAGGCACTGCAGACATGCAGGGGAGACACACACAGCAAAAGGTGAGGTGCTGTGAACCAGACAGCCCAGCAAAGCAAAAATGAGCAGGGGTGGGGGTAGGGGTGGGGGGGGAGCAGCTTTCCTTTCAGAGCAGCGTTTCTGCAGGATTTAAAGATCCTAGTGCTAGGGGCTGTTTATTAACCTGTCTGCCTGGGTTTCTCTTTTGACATTAACAAGCTTCTCCTGCCTTAACCTCCTGCTCACAACGCTGAGCTGCCTTGAATCCAAGAGCTAGTCATTAAATCACACGGAGGGCTCTGGAAAACGCCCTCTTGCACCTGGTCAGGAAAGGGGCTTGTATGAGCAGACACCAGGTCAAGAGGGAAGAGCTGCTCTGCGACCCGAGCAGCGGTCTTAGCTAGCGAAGGAGTCACTGGGGTGGGGTGCTTTTAAGCCCCTTCTGCTGCCCCGGGGTGGGAGGGGATGTTCGCGCCATGTTTTGAGAAATGCAGCAGCTGTCAGAAGCTGCCAAGAGGAATGTTCTTTGAGTGATCAAAAGTCTATGCAGGAGACAGATATGGCGCCCTGCTAGCACCAACCTGGGAAGTTAGACGCACTGGCGGGAATGCCCGAGGCATGTAACCAAGAGGCTCCTAGCGAAGAAAAACGCAGGATGAGCCCAGAGATCCCAGGGACTGGAGAGGGAAGTGGTTCTCTGTGCACATTTTAAAGTGGGTTTAGGCCCCTGGAGACTCACACTCCATACACATAGCTCTGGGGAGGGCACGTATACTTGCTACCTGTCAGGATCCTGTGGCTCTCAGCTGACTGTAAACAGGGCCTCCGTCATTCAGCCCTTGACTGACCTGCTACAGCTGCAAATTCATTCCAGTGCCCGTGAGTTTTGTAGTTGAGCTGCAAGGCCAGCCCTCATCCAGGGAAGCAGATCACAAATGCACCAGACTGACTTCACCCGCAAGCACTCGGTCCCACCTGCCCACAGGCTCGATCTGAACCCGTGACCTAGCAAAGACAGGCGGCATGGCACAAGCTAGCCCTAAAGCCAGTGCCCGCCCCACAGCTCTTACAGAGCAACTGCATGAGCAAACATGGCTGTAAAGACACCCCGAGGGAAAGCCACTTGGCCTCTTGCATTAGAGCCCTCAGTTCCATAGCAAAGGCCATAGAGCAGCTGTCAGACTGGAGACAGCTGGAGCTGCTGCTTAACAGAGCCTGATGCGGGGTTGCATCTCTGGCCCCCAGAGCCCCAGGCCTTGCGGTTCAGGCTGCAGTGCTGACAACAGGACCAATCAGCAACAATTTGCACGGTGCTTTTTTATGGATGTGCACTGACAGGCTTTGGCTGCCCCCGGGAACCAGGCTGAGACCCTTCCAACTCATTTCACATCCGTCCCAAAGCTGTGCCTAGCTGGTGGCACCTAAGGGGCATGGTCAGCAGGTGAAGGCTGCACCAAGACTGATCCAGCCAGTGCTGCAGCAGCTAGCAGTTCCCACTAGGGAACGTTTCCCTTTATTTGTAGAATTGTCGATTGTGGAATTTACTGGATGAGACTCCCTAGGGAACAGGAATCCTCCCTGCTTCTGCTGTTCAGTCTCAGGGCTCCCCTGCCAGTGGCTGGTCAAGGTACCTCCCTTTCTCACGCCCACAGCAGGATACCGCACTCCATGAACCTGCAGTCTCGTGGGACGAAGCAAATTCTGTCTTAGAAGGGGTGATCTTTGCTAAATACAATCCCTTTGCAGGCCCAGCAGCTCGTGCTCCAATTCAGCTGCATGCAGCTTTGCCAGGGCCTGTGCCCACACGGCTGCCTGCCTTGGCAGCTTTCCTCTACTGACTTCACCAGGCGCGAGATTATGGGCACGGGCCCAGGCAGCCCAAGGCTCCCCTCTCCAGCTGGCATGACAGGTACCCAGAGCAGAGGGATGTTCTCAAGTTAGAACAGGGCTCTCGGGCCATTCTGATTATGAAGAGCTAGCAGCCAATTCTGTCAGCGTGATTGCAGGGCAGCCAGGGACTGACTGTCCAGGGGTGCTGAGCAACATGGATGCAGATGATGCTCATAACCTTGTAACAGGGGGCACGTGTATTTGGAGAGTGCCAGCCTGTTACAAGGCGCTGAGCAGCCCTGTTGCGTGGCACCTCCGGACAATCAGACCTGGCTGCCCTGGGATCAACCCAGGAAAGCGCCCCCCCGGCTGAGTGCCGTTCCCGCACTGCCTGATGCCGAAAGCCTCTTCAGCAACTCAGCCCTCCGGCCGAGTGACATGCTGCATCATAAACGCCTGCCGGGCAGGGGCCTCACCCAGGTCCATCCCGGTGCCCTCTGCTAGCACCCCTTTTCTCTCCGCTTGTTTCCTCACTCAGCCGTGAGCCATGCCTCCAGGGCTCTTCTGGAGGTTTCTTCCCCTAGCTCAAGGCTTTACCTCAGCTCATTGAAGTCTTACACTAGCTCCCGGGGGTGCTGCTGCTGCTGCTCCTTCGGCCAGCCAGGCTTCTCCTCTTCTGGGCTTCAAAGACACTGAGCTGACTCTGGGCCTGCAGCTCCTTTTTAGCATCTCTCTGGCCCCTGATTGGCCAGTTCCTCCACAGCCACTCTAGCCTCCTGGAGGACTTGTCTATGGCCTTTTTCTGGGGTGGGGTGTGGCAGGGCCACAGGGCCTTCGGCAGGGGGCCTCAGGACCTGGTCCACCCCACCACACACTCTTGGGGGTAGGAGAGAGAAATCAGGCCTGCAGCATTTCAGGGCGTGCAGGGGAGACTTGTTCTGCATCTGGAGAGGTCACAGAACAGCTGCAAGGCAGCCCCAATCACTTTCATTTTACAGATGGGGGAACTGAGGCATACAGCAGGGCAGTAGAGGGCCACGGATTTGGTCAGACAAAGAACCCAGGCCCTTTGCTTCTGCCCTAGAACCAAAATCTCCGCATTTATTTACCAAGAGTCCTGAGTCGCAGCTTTAACCAACCTTCTTATTTCTTTATTTTAAAGGCACAGCTAGTAACACCCTCCATACAGCATTTTCAGTTCCTCTTCTTATAGGTTGAGTGATTAAACACAAAAAGCAAAACAAGATTTCTCTCTAAAGGACTATATACAAACACGAGATTTTTTTTTAAAATTCCATTTTGTTTTTTTTAAAAGAAAGACACGCTAGCGCACGGAAATAGAAACAGAGAAAGCTGCAGTATCCTTTTCCAAATGGGGGGGGGGGAGGGAAGGGAAGCAGGGGGAGGTTCTAATCTGGTCTGATTTTTCCCCTCCACCTCCTTTCTCCCACCATCTTAGATAGCCAGGTACCATGCTGGAGAAGGCCAGCTGGAAGTGGGGGAGCAGCACGCAGAGACACACCTGGCGACTGAGGGCACTGGAGTAGGTATGGTGCCCCTGGCACTGGTTAAAGAGAGATACATGCAGGACAGCAAGGTGCAGAACTGGTCCAAGTGCAGGTGGGGTGCCGAGAAGGAACAGGGCCAGTGAGATGCAATGGAAACCTACAGAGGCTGGGGCATGTCGGGGCAGGAACAGGGATGTATCTTTAAATATGCACCGGCTCTGGGGAGGAGAGGACGGGGGCAGAAAAGAGGTGGAATGGTACCACTGTGAACGCATAGTACCCAGAGTCCAGACTCGATGCTCTGCTGGCCTAGAGCTGCGGAGAGCAGCGCTCCGAGCCCTGGCGTGACTGAACAATACGAGGCCTGCAACAGATCTGGGGGCGGGCAGAGTGGAATTTAGCAACCATGTGTGCGTGACTGTGGCCACAATTGCTGCCACGTTTCTACTTGGTTCAAGGGAGGTGGCTGCTCAGATCCCCACCCATCGTGGGCACGGAAGGGGGGAAACGCGCACGTTGTGCGCCTGGCGGGATGCCACCCTACAAACTACTGCAGTTCTAAGGAGCACTGACCAGAGCGATACTGCATCTTTTACTGAGCCCCTCCCCCCAGCCCTCCCCCAGCCCC